TAGTATGGTGGTGTAACTAATGATTGCCTTTTGATTCACTACGTCTGAGAGTCATGTTTTGATATTTCTCTCTGTATTGAGCTTGATCTGTACTGCTTTTAGACAGTTCATTTCAGTGCACTGGTGCCTGGAAACTGGAACTGACTCCATCATTATTTGTCCTCCCTACCACTGATGTGCTCATGTTGGTGTGGTTGTGTGCTGTGCGATGCCCTCTGCTGTAGCCTGAACATTTTTGTCAACAGCTACACTGTACATCTTACATAACTGCTGCAGGCCGCACTATTCAGCACCCTCATGTTTGTTTTCACATCTCAACAGGATGGTGTTGGAGCTAAAATAGCAGAAAAGATTGATGAGTTCCTACAAACTGGGAAACTACGGAAACTGGAAAAGGTGAGTCTTGGTGTGTAGGAAGACTTGATTGATGGCACATTGATGTATATGTGTTTAATGATAGCTTTATTTTCACATTTTAGATTCGAAATGATGACACCAGCTCATCCATCAATTTCCTCACCAGAGTTACTGGAATTGGGTATGTCTTAAGTGTGTAGCATTATAATAATTTTAATATCACATCATTGCACTTGTAAGTCGGGGGCGCGACCCACGAAACAGGGAAAACAAATAAGTCAAATTAATCGTTAAGATGTATCTATTAAGAAAGAATGGAGTTCTTTTCGAATGATTGACCTTCTGCTTCAAAGAAAACACAGACAACTAATTAAATTATGACATTTATCTATAGCTAAATGTCTAATAACTAAATAAATAAAAGATTAGCTAGAGAACAAATGAGATAAGAGGTATTGAATGATGAGATAAACCTTAAGTTAATGGCAATAGTAGGAGGAAGTATGTGTACAAAATTAACTCAAAACAACTCTTCTGTTCAATACTAACAATCAAAGGTTGGTTTAAGAAAGAGGAGTGAGAGTAAGTTACTTCAGGCAAGGAGAAGAAAACTTAAGGAGATAAACTAGAGCATTAAGCTTGTTTGAAGATGGGTTTAGGAGTCCATCCTATGGTCATAAACATTATTGTGGAAAGTTTGTGTTGGGAGACCCTCACCCATCGGTATCCCTACAAGTGTTACTAATCCAAACTAAATGTTCTTTATGAGGAAACTCACTGTGAAATGCGTCACAACTATAAGATTAATTTGTTCATGTAGATTTACTCATGCAACTAACTGAATCTCTTGGATCTTGACTTTAGTCCTGCTGCCGCCAGGAAGTTTTTTGAAGAAGGGGTGAAGACATTAGACGGTTTGTTAAGCAGCTGACTCACATTACAATTGTTCAAATATTTTGTTTAATCTCATTCTTCATATGTATGACTTTATATCTTAATTGATACACAATATATTGCATGTTCATTAAGACTGCGCACAGTGTACATTTAGCTTTGGTATTAATCCAAATGACCAATTTCTTCTGTATTTTTAGATCTGAAGAAGATTGAGCACAAGCTAAACCATCATCAACAGATTGGACTCAAGTAAGTTTGGCTGAATGCTCTTTGAATGTTTCTAAATGTCTAATTCAGTAGTATCAAAATAAACTCTTCACATATCTTAAAGTCTTCTTCTATTGATACATGAGCTGTGTTTAATGGATTATTTTCCTGCCTTCAGGTACTTTGAGGAATTTGAGAAAAGGATTCCACGAGCTGAAATGGAAAAGATGGAGGTGAGGAAGCATTTACGTTTCTTTCTGTTATCTTCAAATATGTTTTCTGTGTGTGTGTTCTTACATTGTGTTCTTTGTTTAGACTCTTATCCTCGGAGAGTTGGGGAAGATCGATACAGAATATATTGGAACAATCTGTGGCAGCTACAGGAGAGGTAAAACCTTTCTTTCAAGTTCATTACAGTTGGTGTTCGGTTCAGGATAGGAGTTCAACCTTGTGAACACGCGTTGATAATTTCCAGGTGCTGCATCGAGTGGTGATATTGATATTTTACTGACCCACCCCAACTACACCTCTGAGACTGCGAAACAGGTGAGACTCTTCTCCACTGTAGCTCACTTATCCTGTTGTAAATGCAGTTTTTACCATTCATTTTGTTCCATTTATCTTGTTTTACAGCCCAAGCTCCTCCATTCAGTGGTCGAACATTTGGAGTCCATTGGGTTTGTGACTGACACTCTGTCCAAAGGGGACACCAAGTTCATGGTGAGGCCTGTGCTTATTTCCTCTCATGTGCTCAGCTGTATGTGTCTGATGTTGTGGATGGTAACGCAGTTAGTACAGTAACTGTACCCAACCCATGAAGCGCATGACTGTGGTGACGGTGTGCTGAATCTTGTTTTTCTAGGGAGTGTGCCAGCTGCAGCAGAGTGATGAAGATGAGGAAGAGTACCTTCACAGGCGTATTGATATCAGGTGCCCCACTTTATATTGCTCCTTAACATTTACAGTTCTAGGCATTCAACGTATATTTATGCAATACACCCCGGAATGAGTCAGTGGGTTGAGATTCATTGTGATGCTTCTTCGTCACGACATATGACACACATTTATTGATGGTAATAACTCTGTGATCTTCCAATTAAAACATTGCACCTGCCTAGTACAATACCAAACATTACGTTAGTTACATACAATTGGATCAACTGCGAAAACATTAAAGAAAAAACCTTTTTTCATTTTTTTGTTCTTCTAATCAGTCGTTTATTCCTGCTCTCTAACGATCCTGTCTCCCTTCCCTCAAGGTTAATTCCCAAGGACCAGTACTACTGTGGAGTTCTGTATTTCACTGGAAGTGATATCTTCAACAAAAACATGAGAACTCATGCTCTGGAGAAGGGCTTCACTCTTAATGAGTACACCATTCGACCACTTGGAGTCACTGGTGAGTCTCAGTCAAATGTGACATATGAACTTGTTGAACTGTGTCCCAGCCCTGTGTGATTTCTGTCATCAGTCAGTAACCAGTGATTCATGCGTTTCAGCTCTTGATATCCGCTATTTTTCTCTGTCGATCTGTTGTAGGTGTGGCAGGCGAGCCTCTCATGGTGGATAGTGAGAGAGACATCTTTGAATACATCCACTACAAATACAGAGAGCCAAAGGACCGCAGCGAGTGAAGCAAAGGACGGTTTACAGTTACATCAGAAGCTACAGCTTTCCCTGAAAACAGATCAGATCCGACACGTGTACAAATGTGTGTGTTAGTGTGTCGCTCTATATACCGTATACCAGTCAAATATGTCATTGAACAGAAAAACAACTGTGAAAGTCATTTTAATTATTTGTTTTGGAGACTTTTTCTATGTTAAGTTGAAATCATCCCCATTAATGAAATGTAAACCTAAACACACCTGTGCTCTGCACAACAAAATTGTTGTTTTGTTTTTACCTTAGGTTTAGTTCACCGTGGTCGTGTATCTTTGTGAAGGTGCTTGGACTCCATTTTTAAAGGTTTCTATATCATGCTCAACAGTAATTTATTTTTTAACCACACTTGTAAATGTAATATTTTATATACCAAAAAGGGATTATAACATGCCTTAGGAGGACTGGCTTCTGTTACACTTGTTTGTCCGTCCATCATGGACAGTGAGAACCACTATCATCAAGGCTTTATTACAGTTTTGCCCTTTTAAACTTTGGCCAAGTTGTGCAAAGGTGTTTTTAGGTTTAGTTGTTTACACATGCAGACAACAGCAATATCGCTACTATATTTTAGTATTTGTTTTTATCAGATTCACCATGGAAATCCAAGAGTGTAGAATTTCTCTTCCAATTTGGGCAAATGTATGAATAAGATGTAATGATGCAAACATTGTTTGTGGTTAATGGGCTCAGTTTCTGGTTCTGGACACTAATATAGGACAAAATGATAATTGGTTGAGACAAATGAGGATACACATTTACCTCCTCAGTTATTGATTGTGTGAATATGACTGTTACACTGGTAGACTTGATGAATCTTTAGTATGTGGTTGTGTGAAAATGATTATATGTGTGTGTAGGTCAGGACATTATTGTATCTTCAGTGCTTTTCAGAAAGGCTTTTTGAAAGCAGCAGCTCAAAGTAATAAAGTCAACCAGGTAACAGAAATACTGTATTATGGTGTTACATATTTTAATATTTGACACAACTTGAATATTAGGATTACAACTTTGATTCAATTTGGTATGTGGATGATTGCAAACATTTCAGAAAATATTTAAGAAAAAACAGAAAACATGGGAAGCAGTTGTGTTGTGTGGGCTTGTAAACACCCGACTATTGACTTTGAGCATGTATGAGTGAAATAAATGGGTTGAAAATGATAAATTGTCAAATTGTATTTATTTCACTTTGTTTGCAAATGTGTTTCTGTATAAAACATTTTCATGTCTTTTTGTCATACTTAAGAAACTTTATTGGTGAGGTACATAATTCAGGTTGTATTGATGTACGTTGGCTCACCAGATGATTGTAGGATGCCAACCATATTGTCAATCGACTAAATATATTTTTTTTTGTTGTTGGAGGTATTTTTACACTAACGAGCATCACATTTTTCCTAAAAACTAAGTATTTAAAGTTTTCATGTTTGATTTGGGGACAAATGTGTATGTCTATTTAATTTCTGTGTGCGATAAAGCCGTTCAAATCATGCTTTTCTTACCGAATTTAACGTAATTCATATTATTATATTGTTAATTGAATGCCCACAGGCCACATTGTCTATAATTAGACATTTTTTACATCGTATAAAACTTATAACGTTTCTTGTTATTACAACGTTAACTTTTAACATTATATTATATATAATTATTAATAATTAATATGTTTTTTTCTCTCTTGTTGTTAAATCACTTCATGACATAAATCCTGCCACGATGCTGTCGCCAGTGAGGCATGGGCACGAGCAAGTTATTTACAACGGTTGCCCCGGCAACAATCGTGTCGCGAAGCATGATGGGTTGAAATAAAATGCAGGCAGAAACACCAGAAAGATAGGCCTGAATGAGCCAATGACAGCACCCTATGCATTAATATCAACCAATCAGAAGACGTCAAGGCAGCAGTCTCTTACTGCTACACACCCACATTACTTTTGTGTCAACCACTTCGCGGGAGTTGTCACTACAGGAGCGGTCGTCTCTTTAAAACTAGCCAAACAGTAAACGGGAGACTAGAAGGTAAATTTAAGAATTTCGCATGCATAAAATAATAGGATTTTTTAATTTATTCTCTGTTCAGCGTTATCTAAACGGCAACATCTGTGCTCACTGTTAGACGGTGTGTTTTTTGTTTTCCTTTTGCGGGATGAATGAGCGCTTGAACGTTAGCTAATCAACAGCTAGTTAATCGAAGATGCATGTTAGTGGTGGCTGTTTGTAAACCCCCCTCTCCCTATGACACCGTAACTTACTATTTATGCCAAATGTTAAATTATTATAAAAAACTGGATGTTCACTAAAACATAAAGCAGATAAAGCCTGTTTTTTTCCCGCTACTTTCTACCGTTACCGTGAGATAGTTGAGAGATCAGCTGTAATTGTGCAGCCTCGTTTTGAACGCTAACAGCTAAATTTGAGACGTTAACCCCGAATGTCTTGTATCCATAGAAACTACGCAGAGCGCGCATCCAGCGAGCTCGCAGCTGATGGAAGTTGTTATGCAACACTTGTGGAAACGTCTAGTTCACATAATATAATGTGTCGGTTATTATGTAATGGTGGCTCCGTCACTAACTAAAGTCACCCGCGTCTTTCTCTGTACTGACCCGAGCCTTCACACTGTCCATGCAGCACCCTTTAACTCAAATCGATGACGAAAACTGTTGGGATGCTCAGGGTCTAGAGTCGATCGCATTGTGTGTGTGTGTGTGTGTGTGTGTGAAGATGATGAATCCTCCGCTGTGTTTTGGTTTCCCAGGGCAACCATGTCTGAGAGGAAGGCAGTGATCAAAAATGCCGACATGTCGGAGGACATGCAGCAGGACGCCGTGGAGTGTGCCACACAGGCCCTGGAGAAGTATAACATCGAGAAAGACATCGCTGCATACATCAAAAAGGTACAAAACCCCACTGTTGACGCAGCCAACATCCTTCACCAAGTAGCGCCCTCCAGAGAGTAACTTCAGCCCACTGATGTGTGAGCACTATCTGATATTTCTGTTACAGTTTTGCATTGGTGTGGCTGCAACCATTTTGCACTCACTGACCAACCAACCATCCCGTGCATCACATGTTACACACCCAGACTGGTATTTGCAATTGTTTCCAGTCTTCCTGAGGAAATCTGTTCCACTCGTACTGACCGTCCTCCGTAGTGGTATTCCTGCTCAGTGTAGGGAGGGAGCAGACCAGGGTGTGTAATTGTCATAGAAACAGTTTAAAAACAGAAAACTAAAGTTTTTACAGATAGGTGATGTTGACATAGTTGTCAAAGTTTATATTTCATATATTTGCAAAATTGGTAATATGATTTTACAGAGAAAAGAAATAAAGGTGAATATTATCAAATGAGCAGCAAAACTCATTATTAATGTCACTAGGTAGAACAAAACAAATTGGCTACTTATGGTAACTGTATTTTAGCTGTTAAGATCTAAGTAGACAATATTTTTGAACTATCAGTGGCTCAAATACCAGACGTCAGTGTTGTCACAATAAATCACCGGGCTCAAGCTTGAGGTACACACTTCTCTCCTGACTGTAGATACGACTTCACAACTCACGATTGAACGTAACCTGTTTTTACTTCCACATCTACGATACTATATACTTCATTAAGTAACATTTTCTTCTTTTGTTCACACCTCAAAAAGTCTTTGTCCACAGATGTTTGATGAACACAATGTGTCTTTGTCTCACACAGGAGTTTGACAAGAAATATAACCCGACCTGGCACTGCATCGTTGGGAGAAACTTCGGCAGCTACGTGACTCATGAGACCAAGCATTTCATTTACTTCTACTTGGGTCAGGTGGCCATTCTGCTGTTCAAGTCCGGCTGAGGGAACGCATTTTCTCAACATCAGCCGACCATACATACAGTACTGACTGACTCGACAAAGGCACTTATCATTCCTTGGCAAGGGGCCGCTGCCTTTTTCTGTGCTGCTTTCTACTTTGTTCTGTTTTTGAGGATAAAAAAAACATGGCCATGTTAAAGAGATGAAACACTTGTATTTATTTTTGTCTTGTTACATTAGACATGTCATTTTTTTAATTAAAGCGTAGCTTTTAAGCTGTCTGGGTCCAATGCCTGGTGTGGTCATTTTATTGCACTGCTTCATTATACACTAATCCAACCACAACATTTATAACTCTATATGACCAGATACTCATGTTATAAGATAATAATTCCTACTGACGTTTGTTTATTTATCAACATGACAACATGGAATAAAAGTATGAAGCTGCAGTCGCCAGCTTAGTGCAGATCTACTCCTCATATGCATATTTGACATTTCTGAGCCATTGTACTGTGAAGTCAAGTAATGGGTATGAAACACTGTCACATCAGGAACAGAGCATCCAACAATATTTTGAGGTCAGCGGAGTTCAATGTGATTTGAGTCACCGCATTATGCAGGCAGCTCTTTTTCAGAAACATTAACCTTGAATGCTGCTTTGAGTTTATTCTGATGTTGATTTGTAGTCAGTTGCAAAGGATAGTTTCAGCACAAGGCACCATAAAACCCTGTAATGAATTCACCAGTACTGCATTACAACTTCAACGCAGCATTTGAGCTGCAGAAGTACATTTTATTTTATCTTTCTTGGATGGCTGCAAGCTAATGACTGTGTCTACAGGAAACATCCACACTATGTATTCTCACACTCAGTATCGGCACAAATGAGGCAAGAGAGGGCAAAAGACGGTGGTACTCTTTATTACAACACATTTAGAAAACCAGCTTGTGTGGGTAGACGCCATTAGACAGGCAGAAGGAAGAGCGCAGGTACCCTTTCATCTGAGGTACTTTCTTGATGAGGGGCAGGAGCTGAGCATCAACAGCTTTCTGGTCCTCCTTCCTCTGCTCTGTCAGCTGGTACTTCTGCAAATGGAGAGGAGAAGAAAACCAGTGAGTCAGGTTTCACATCTGGGAGTCAAAGTCCTGTCGAACTGGTCAAATGTACAGTAGAGCGTTTTAAGACAATATCCAAAGTAGTTTACCTCTTTTTCTGTATCAAAGATCTCTCCCTCCTGGTGACGGGGCCTCCTCAGCTTCTTCTTCTTGAAGTAGGCATCGTTCAGAGTTTTGGGGATCTTCATGCCAGAGATGTCGATTTTGGTGTTGGTGGCGATGACAAACTTCTGGTGAGCCCTGCGCAGGGGGACTCTGTTCAGGGCAAGAGGGCCTACAAGTACACAAACAAGACAACACACACGTTAAAAAGGTTT